CCCTGACACCAACCTTGTAAACCGAATCACCGGTGTGTGTTGTCCCGCAACAACTTAAAACTGTTATTGAGACTTTAAAAGATTTACAGACACTGTTGGGAACCATAGATTAGATACAGCCGTCGCGGGCCTAACTCATGATGATCTGCATAGCTTGTTGGATGTTTTGTGAAAAGATCCTTCACTGACATCACCCAAAGTACTCACAGAGAAGCAAAACAAGATCTTCACCGTATCGCTAACAAGCATCACAAGTATACTGCATTCCCCCACAGGACAAACCATCGTCGAAAGAGCACGCCAGACCGTGAAAGTTCCTGTGCAAAAACAAAAGGGGGAGAGATCTTGGCTCCAGGTCAGCCATTCGCTCTGCTGTAAAACACATGCATTTTTTCCACCAGAATGCCAGAGCAATACAGAACCAGGTTTCTTTATCAAGGCATCCAGCTAAAGACATCACTGCAACTCGCCCTGAGTACCAGACAGACTCCATCTCTTCAAACCTTTTAAACATCTCTCCTGTCTCACAGGTGCCACCAGTATTGTGTCGTCTTCCATCACAGATACCAGATCCACGAGAAGTCCCGAGCAAAGCTCAAGTGTTAACAAAACCTAGACAGGGGTAACTGGGAAGGACCATTTCCTTTAATACCCTGGGGAAGAGGTGATGCTGGGGTCTCCACAGCTCTCATCTCCAGTGGTCACCGGCAGGGTGTGTGCACCCACCCCTGAGGGTGAGAGGCAGCCAGCACTCAGGATCCAGCTGTGGGTGCTGTGGGTGCCCCTGTGCCGACAGTTTGCGATCCCTTCGACTGATCATTCAAGCAGAATGTCTGAGTGATGTTTGCTACCGCAGCAGAACAGACTACACTACAGCTGTCAATTCTTTTAAGAGAAAATGCTAACAGTAATTGTAACTCCTTAATGAAATATATAAGCTTACTAGTCACTTGTGCAAGATGTACTTTAGATGAAATACAGTTATTAGTAAGGATAAGATGCTGTAAGAATGTGTGTATTCAACTCTCTTTGTTCAGTAATATTAAGAATTAAGAGCTCAAGTATTTAACCTTATTTAGAAACTCCCTTGGTTTCCCCCTGGAGTGGTGGCCAGGCTCGGGGTGGAACCCAACAGGAGGATGAGATCAGATGTTCCCGCTCAAAGGAAGTTCCCAGTTATTTTGGGCTGTTGATTTAAGGGCCGGACCTGCTTGCAGCGACATTGGATGCCTCACCTACGGATGGACGCATGGCGTAGGGTTTCCAGTTTGTGAGGAAGGGCACTCTGAATTCTCGCTGTATCCAGGGTTCCCTAGCAATTGCGGATCTGGATGTTAGTACTTCTATTAATTAAGTGTGCTATTCCGTACTTTCCTCACTGTTTATTTTGTAGTATTTAGTCATATCCCTTGGATATAGGTAGTATGGGATGCTTTGTACTTAATAGGGAGCCTTTAACAGTTTATTGCGGTGATTAGGAATGGTATTATTGATTGTAGTAATTATTAAAATAGCATATAGTTGTATAATGAGAAATATTAGTGAATTTATGCTTGTGCAGCCTGCACAAAAAGAAAAAGGGGGAATTGTTGGAGAACGGCTTGCAGAGAGCAAGGCCATGGGTCTCTGCACAAGCTGACTGCAGACACCTGAGGTAAACTGAGGAAAAACCCAGGGTACAGTTTTGATAACAAAGGTCTGTTATGTTAACAAAGAGAGAAACTGAGGTACATAATGACCTTGGGGGTGATAGAAAAACAGCCCTGGGAGAAAAACAGCTTCAGAAGCGGGAAGGTGTTTATGCAAACCTGAAATACCACAAGGGGTGGGATATTATAATGTGGCCTTTTACATGTATCCAATAGATTTGTGAGAAGTGTGCATGACTATTGTGGAGTGCTTATATAAGGTGTGATTTCTTTCAATAAAGTTGAAGCTCGCTCTCTCACTCACGTTGAATCGACTGCCTGCTTCCTCCGCCCGCCGCATCCCAAGGAATGTCCTGTCACTTTCCTAGAATCACTTGCCCTTGGAAAGAGCAGGAGAGGTCTTCCGTCCTCTGCACGTAAGGACTGCGCTCACGGTGAGACACTGAGCACAGTGAAACAGCCGAGTGAGGTTTGTCATTAGGGCACGAATGCCACCTACATTTTCACTGTTAGCCAACAAAAGACCTGCCAGTCGTGCCGTGCACCTCTCCAGAACACTTCCAGGATAACGCCTGCCTGCATTAACTTCTGACGAGGTGCACCCAGGAGGTGTATTGGCCCTTCATTCCTCAGCGCAGGGAGGGGCAGTTCTCCAGGGTGGTGCCGTCCCTACGAGCACATTTTCACTGCCACTCTGCAAAGGCAACACCCTGGGCCAGTTCTTCTGTGAAATCCCCCAGATCCTCAAGCTCTCCTGCTCACACTCCTACCTCAGGGAAGTTGGGCTTATCG